TAGTGCCATACTCAACCTCCAACCCAATCAAACCCCTTCCTCTCCCATTTCCTTGTAGCTGCCACGAAAGAGCCACTGGGAGTCGCCCCCTGGTGCCAAGATGAGGGTGGACTCCCTGGTGCTCCTGAGCACTCCATCACAGATGTGCCCGCGGCTTTGTCTGGTCTGCAGGCTGGAACCTGGGGGCTGAGTCAGATCCAAAGGGTAAGAGTCAGCGTGCAGACAGGCAGGGCCTGGTAGAGAAGAAACCAGGTCCCTAAGCTTGAGTCGCAGTCCAGGAGTGAAGGTGAGCGTGATGGTCATTTATCACCAAGAACGGGTGGGAGTGGCCTGGTGGGGAGGAGAGCATCTGCCTCTCCAGGGACTTGGGGCCCGGCCTCTGCCTCCTTTGTTCTTTGGCCCAGGCTGGTGGCTGTGGTGGAGTCAAGGCCAGAGCACCCCAGGCCTCCAGCATAGAGACGAGATCTCATTGGCCACTTCTGCAAGACATGGAGATGGAAAGTGAGGAGTGAGTCAAGCTCACTATTGCAGCCCCTCGTAGTCCTTGGCACCCAAAGTCCGCCTTCCCTGGCCCCCCTCCCTGAAACCCTCCCCTGTCGTGACTGCTCTGATGACAGTAGGCTCCAACGCACCACCATTCCTGGCCCCATGCATTCTCCTGACCACCTGAGCCTGGCGGGAAGCACTTGAGGGGCCGGCTCAGCCCTCAGTCTTTTCTTTCCCTCCCCCCACCCCATAGTAAGAGCTGGGAGTGGGGTGGGGGGAGGGCAAGAAAAGACTCCTGACACTGATCAGTCCTGACCCCTTCTCTTGCACAGCCTCCCACCCAAGTGCCTCTGGCCCAGACGTCAGTGCCCACACCCTATGACTGGGGACCTCCCAAGATTGTCCCTCCTTCCAGCAGGAGTGTGGGCAGTCCTAGGCAGTCCCAGGTTGATTTTCCCTGAGGTCTGCCCTCCCCTTGGCCACCCCTCCACCTGGGGGCTGGGGTGAGGGGCACTGCTCCTGGCTCACCAGCCCCACTGTCAGAGCTCCAGACCTTACCCGGCTCTCATTGGTTCATTCTTCAATACATTTATCCATTGCTTCCTCCATGCAATGGCCTTACTTTGATCACCATCTTACAGCTAAGGCAACAACTATGTACCCCAGGTGCCACTGTCAGTACTTCAGAGTTGCCCCCATTTAGTCTCAAATTCTTGCATTTTGGCTACATTTGCATGAAATAAAATTAAAAAAATCTCAAGTTTCAAGACATTTCAGAACCATGGTGTTTAGGGGAGACAGATGGTGAAAAGTAGCCTCCCTAAAAATAAAGTTGACCCCATTACAATGGTACCCTCAGGGGTAGAATGTCTCTTCCTTTGTAGCACAGTTATACACCACAACCAGCAATTTACATGCCGTCTCCTGGGCCTGCTTGGTGGCTGTGAGCAAGGGAGGGGGTCTGAAGGCAGACACTCTTGGGTTCAAACATTTAGCCACTTAATCTCCCTGAACTTCGGCTTCCTCATCTGTAAAGTAGCATTGCTTTGGTTCTTGTGTGGATTAAAAGATAAAAATGCACCAAAGCACAGCTCCTGGCATAACTTTAGCATCCAAATACTGTTAGCTGTTATTGAAATGGTGATTTACTGTTAATTATACTTTTTATGAATAGTCTCATTTCATACCCTGGAAGAGAAGTAAGGCTCATGTTACCTTTCCTCCCACATCTATATATATAAAAGCCTAAGTGACTGGCCGGCTGATAGCTATGACATGCACTGACCACCAGGGGGCAGATGCTAAATTGAGGAGCTGCTGAGCTGAGGTGACTTGGCAGCTGGGGTTCTTGGGTGACACAACCGGAACCAGAGAGGAGGGAGCCTGATTCTAGGGTGCATCACCAGAGAACCACCCTCTTGCAATCTGGGACCCCTCAGGGGATGTCTGAGAGCTGGTTTCAGCCTGATCCCCGCAGGCCAGGTCAAGGGACCCTACTGTGCACAAATACGTGCACTGGGCCTCTAGTAGCCTCTAGTATAATATAAGCAAGGTTTGGGACAGGTGGATTGCAGTCTGGTAGGTGGTGCCCCCAGCTTGGTGGCTTCTAGAGCGATGCTTTCTTAGACTATTGCTCTCCCAGCGGGCATCTCTCCTGCCACAGAAGTCCCGAGGACAGGGGACGATACCCCCCACATCCAGGACTCTCCGAGGCGCAGTTTCCTTTCCCAGGCACCAGCCTGGAACCTGCTCCTTTTTCTCCCCTGACACTAGGCACCCCCGAGTCTTGGGGCCTCCATGAATGTCCCTGGAACCACATCATAAAGTCATTTCCAATCACCACTCCCCACTGCAGGCCGGGGACCCGAGTTCAATATCCCTCTACCCCAGACCCCCTTCCCTGAGGCCCTGGCCCCGTGGCCTACCTTGAGAGGGTGCAGGAAGCAGAGTCCACGCAGGAAGGGTGGCCAGGCGGGGCCAGGCAACTCGTGGCCGAGCGTGCGGGTGAGGTGGGCTATGTAGCTGGTGGCCAGCACCAGCACATCCAACTTGGAGAGCTTGGTGCCTGCGGGCACGGCAGGCAGAGCGGCCTGCAGGGCCAGGAAGGCCTGGCGCAGCATCCTCACCCGGCTCCGCTCCCGCGCGGCGTTCTCAGGACTGACCTCACTCTGCACAGAGGACCAGGCGAGTGAGTCTGACCGGATCCCCTCACCCCCACCCCCAGGCCCCGGCTTCTAAGAGCATTCTAGTGTGAGGTCTTCTGTCAGAGTGGTAGCACTCTGAACAGCAGGGACCAGCGACATCACCCCAATTTGTCCATTCATGGCCCTGCCCCATGTCACAGCTGAGGGAATGGAGAGAAGGCCTCGTCTGGTGTCAGATGGAACAGGAGGGCAAAGGTTGGCCCAGAACCTGAGATCCTGTACTCTTTCTAATTCTCCCAGGTGCCTTCCTTCCTTCCATCCACACCCAGGTCTGAATCCTGCTGATCAGGTGCCCTGGGCCACAGGGAGCACAGAGCCATGTCCTGCTCGGTAGAGATGACCCTTGGCCCAGGCTCATCTGAGAAGAAGAGGCAGCTGTGGTAAAGAGGAAATGACACCAGACGGGGCTCCAATCACAGACTAAAGTCCTGGCCCTGCGGTTGCTGACTGTGCCCTGGGGCCTTGGGAAATTCACATCACTCCTCCAGGCTTAGTGTCCTGGAGAGAAGGGAGTCGGGCCAGGTCTCTTAGCCACACTCTCAGCTTATCCCCAACCACAAAGCATGGAGCCTTCGAGTCGAAGGGGCCAGGGTCCCCTACTTAGGGCAGGGATGGTAACACTGACTGACGCTCTGCCATCGGAGGTGACCTCTCTCAACCCCTCCACCCCCTGCCTCCCCAGCTCCCTCTGCAGGGCCCTATTTCCTTACCCTGACACCAGCCAGGCTCCCGGTGCCGGCCCCTCTGGGGGCAGGGGCAGCTCTGCTCCATCTCTGGTTGCTCCAGCCGGTCCCTTCCCACAGGTCCTGCCTGGTCCTGCTCAGGCGGCTCTTCCTGCTGTGGGTGCCTGCTAGCAGCCTCCGCCTGGCCTTCGCCGGGCTCTGCCCCACTCCCGGCATGGCCAGTGCCCCTCTGGCCTTTCTCTGTGACATGCCACACCTTAGGGATGTGGTGTCACAGCTCCCAGGACAGGAACACAGTGCCTGAGGGAGTCCTTGGGCTCAAGCTAGCCGGGCAGGCTGGTCATCTGGCCAGCGATGTCTATATCTGAGGGAGCTGGCGCCAACGCAGTCCTGCCTCACTTCTTGCTCTGGGAAAACCGCCCACCGGCACAGCCCCCGCGAAAAACCTCCTGCCTGCCTCCCAACCAGCGGTGGGTGGGGGTGCTGCATGCTGGGAGTGACCAAGCCCTGGGAGGAGGCCCTGCTGAAGAAGGCAGGAGGGTGGTGGGAAGGGAGCTTCCTTCTAGGAGCCTTGCCTGACCCTGACAGCAGTCTTATGATAGACCTGCGGCTTTCGCTTTGGGGTTCGAGTTCATGGAGGGGCCCTGAACCTCCTTCTTCTCTGCACACGTCCTTAGAAGGACTTTTACTCCCCATGCGTACCTCAGGTTCTCAACCCAGTGCTTTTCCTTGTACCTCTCTGCCCCCTGGAATGCCTGCTCCCACTCTGCCAGGGGAAGGCTGCCCATCTGCAGGTTGTGCCTTCTTTTGGGAAGGCCCGGAACCCGGAGCCCAGGCCTCGCTGTTTCACTGGGGCTCCGTTTATGCTTGACCACACCCTGGCTGGCTTCCTAACAGTTCAAAGTCCTCAAATCACTGCCAGGCAGTGTGCTAAGCACGTTACGTGTATTATCTTTCTTTCAACCTTATAAGAAAATAGACTCTCACATCCTCATTTTACAGATGGGAAAACTGAGTGTCAGGAGGTGAAATAACTTGCCCAGCGTCAAACATCTAGCAAATGATGCGGGTATGGAAACCCAGGCAGTTAGTGAACTTGGAAGACTGCCCTCGCCATACTGTTCTTCCGGGGCTGAGTTACTCACCTGTCTGTCCCCAAGCCAGACGGGAGGGATTTGAAGGCAAGGACCAGGATGTTTGCTGAGTGGCGTCGTATCCTCCATACAGCTACTTAGGAGCAGGCGGCTGAAGAAATAGCAAATCTGCCACAGTAGCCCCTGCCTGACCTCAAGTTGCAACCTCTGCCTGCAGCAGAATCGTCTTGCATATCCCATGTCCCTCAATCTTGAACTCCAGGGGAGACCCAATAAGTAAAGGGAAGGTACAGAGAGGACAGAGAAACAAAGGTGACTGTAGGTACAGCGTGGCAGACACCCAGCTGACCAGAGAGAACGGAAAAGAGAAGACAAGTAAAATTGACTGAATATCCATCAGTAATCGGAAGAATAAGACAGACCTCTGTAAAATGACATGGAAAGCTCTCTGAGCTGCACAATTAAGTGAAAAAACTTATTTGTAAACCAACGGGTATAATAAGATCCAGACAGGATGAAAAAACACCAAAAACAAAGCTGTGTGAAGGTGTATGCACTTATGTGAACATAGAGAAAGGAGACTGAAAGATGTGCACCAAGCGTTTTCTTCTTCCTTTTTTTTTTTACGCCGGATGCAGAGACTTAAACATACACTCAATTCGTGTCAGTTCGTGGCACAGCGTCTTCGGTACACACAGGGCCGGTTGTTGGCCTCACTCCCACCTGCCCTCCATTTCCTTTTATCCCATTCCCATTCGTCTTCCGTATCGCAGGCCACCATCCCAAAGATGTGCTATTAGATTTTTAAAAGTTTACCTTGAATCCAGCAATCTTGTTGAACTTTATTAGTCTTAATATCCTGTTGGTTCTGTTGGTTTTTCTAAGTAGATAAAATAATGGCAATTTTATCTCTTCCTTTCCAATCTTTATATTTCTTGTTTCTTTTCCTTTCCTTAGAGCATCCTCTCTAAAATCAATACAAACGTTTTCTTTAAACAGAGATTTTTAAAATATATATATTTTTATTGGTTTCAGAGAGGAAGTGAGAGGGAGAGAGAGATAGAATCATCAATGATGAGAGAGAATCATTGATTGGCTGCCTCCTGCATATCCCCTACTGGGAGTTGAACCTGCAACCCAGGGCATGTGCCCTTGAATGGAATTAAATCTGGGACCCTTCAGTCCACAGGCTGATGCTCTACCCACTGAGCCAAACTGGCTAGTACAATATACAAACAGTTTTTAAAAGATTTTAAAAATTAAATATAGACTCACCAATTCTACTCCTAGTTATCTATTCAAGATAAATGTATGCCAATGCAAAACTAGTACAAGAATGTTCATAGCAGCATTGTTCATAACTACCAAAAAAGTAAAACCAACAAAATATCCATCAATTGATTATTGAGAAAGCAAAATATGATATAGGCATTTAAAGGAGTATTATTTGGCAATAAAAAGGAATAAAGTAATGATACATGCTACAACATGAATTAACTTTGAAAACATTATGTGAAGTGAAAGAAGCCAGACACAAAAGGCCACATAGTCTATGATTCCATTGATATGAAATGCCTAGATATGCAAATCCATAGAGACAGAAAGTAGGTTTATTGTTTCCAGGGCCTAGGGGAAGGGAGGAAGGAAGAGTGACTGCTAATGGGGATGGGCTTTTGGGGACAGGGGGTAATAAAAATGTTCTGAAATTAGATTGTGTTGATGGCTGCACAACCATGTGAGCATACTGGAAAACAGTGAATTGCACACTTTAAATGGGTGGATTGTATGGTATGTGAATTATATATCAATAAAGCTGTTAAGAAAATAATTATTAAAATATATAAACACTAGAGGTCTGGTGCATGAAATGCATGCACTCGGGGGGGGCGGGGAGTCCCTCAGCCCGGCCTGTACCCTCTTACAGTCTGGGAGCCCTCTGGGGATGTCCAACTGACAGCTTATGCCCACTTCCAATGGGGAGCGGGCCTAAGCCAGCAGTCGGACATCCTTAGCGCTGCCACGGAGGAAGAAGAGGCTCCCACCACTGCCGCTGAGCTCACCAGCTGTGAGCCCGGCTTCTGGCTGAGCGGCACTCCCCCTGTGGGAGCACTCAGACCACCATGGGGCAGCTCTTGCATTGAGCATCTGCCCCCTGGTGGTCAATGCACATCATAGTGACCAGTCATTCCACTGTTCAGTCAATTTGCTCTTGCATTGGCATCTGCCCCCTGGTGGTCAATGCACATCATAGTGACCAGTCATTCCACTGTTCAGTCAATTTGCATATTAGCCTTTTATTATATAGGATATCCTAAAGGGGGTGTGGAGCATGAACCCTGCTCAGAAAGCAAGGGAAAATAAGAAGTTGAAGGGAGGACCCAGCCCAAATAGGCTGTGTGGTTCAGGGGAACCCTTGGTGGAGGAAGTGGTATATGGGCAGAGAGCAGAGGGGGTAACGGGGGCCCGAAAAGGAGACAAGTGCCCCAGAGAATTTTTCCTGCTTCAGTTTTGTCAAAGGCCAGCCTGTGGACGGTCTCTGAAAGCAGGTCCCAGAGCCTAGAGGCAGAGAACCTATGATGTCACACCTGACCTTTGTGACACAGGCACTAGATGTCACGGAGAACTACCCCCAGGAAATGGGACTTCTAGCTCCCAAGGGGGGTGGCAGTGCCACCCCTTAGACAAAGTCCCAGTCTTTCAGAGGCTTTCATCAGCTGGCCACATGCTCCTGCTGCCGTTGGGTGTGATAAGCCATATTGACTAGGGCCAGGCTGAGCCAGAGGACATCAGCATTAGGGGCAACAAGGGGTCAGGGGAACCAGACTGGCAGGAAACCAGGATGCTTGCAGAATCCCTGATTCAGGTTTAGGAGAACAAAAGCCTATAACAGAAGACCCCCTCCTGGCTAAGGAGGACTGAAGACCAGGCTCGGACAGAAATCTGGGTCAGAGTGAGTTTAGGGTAGAGGATGCTGGGGGCAGAGAGGGGTGCATCCACTCTTTGGTGACTGTTCCTTTTTCTCCCAGGTCCCCTCCTTTCTGAAGTGCCTTGTAAAACAGTCCAGAGGAACCTTCATGGGTAAGAGCTTACACCACCAGAACACCTCAATTCCTAGTCGCATCTCAGCCCCCATACCCTCTTCTCCAACTCCTTCCTACCCTCTCTCCCTCCCTATTTCTCTCCTCCTCAGCTCTACCCTTCCCTTGAGCATTTTGCCAGCTCTTCTGCCCCCAAAGGTGACATGGGTTTAGGGTCTTAGTGAACCAGCCTGGAACTGGCCCCTGAGGCAGAGCTGCAAATGGACCCATTCTCTCAGTATCTTGGGCTCTGTTTCTTTCTCTACAGGTCCTATGGGCTGTGCCTTCCTCCCTGGCCCATTCAGATAATTGCTGCCACCCCCAGGCTCCCAGAGGCAGCTCGGATTCTCCATCCCTATACATCCCTCATCAAATGGCCAACTGCAAAGAAGAGAGAAGCCAAGCTTAGATCCCACCTCCTGCCTGAACACCCAGAGAGCCTGGTGCTGCTGGGCTGGGTGTCTCCTACGCTGCAACCAGAGATACCAGTCCTGGCTGCCAGGTCTCTAATCTCTGGTCTTGCCGCCTCAGTCCTTTCCGGTTTCAAGGCGATGTTGCCTCAAAACAAGGACCAAGGGCTGCTACAGAAAGCAGTGCCCCCTGGGCATCCCCCTCAGGGCCCCTCACAACTTGTGGACTCCCTTCCTCAGAACCTTCAGCCTCTGCCTCCACAGAAATCGCTCCCTCTTGCCCCTCCACCTTGCTCCCCTCCGCCACAGTCCCACTCTCCTGGCTCCCATTCCTCCTCTTCTGACTCAAATTCTGACTTCGTCCTACAACCCTACTCTTCCTCTCTCCCAAGTTCCCCTGCTTTCTTTCATCAGAATTGCCCGTCTCTCTCCCTTCCACGTTCCTCCTCTCCCTCCTGCCATCTATACCCCTCTCCGCCCCCTACTCAGTCCTCTAATCCCTCTCAGCCACAGAACTCCTCTCTCCCACACTGCCAGTCTCCTTTCCACTCCGAAGACCTACCTAGCTCCACGCTCACTTCCCACAGCCTCAGCCTACCTTGTCCTGGGGTCCACCCCAATAGGCAGACATGGCACTGGCATCAGCACCAGGACACCAGATCCCCTGGGGTGGCGGAGGGATGCGTGGCAAGCGAAAGGGACGCTGCAGAGTTCAGGAACCCAGGAGCCCTGGCCCAGGCCCTGGTGGTGCAGCTGGGGTACCGTCGCATCGCACACGACCTTCGGTTACTCATTTTGCAGAGCCTGTGGCTAGGCAGAACCGACCAGCCTCCGGTTGTGGAGTACCCTATATGCCTGGTGTGTCTCCGGCCCCGCAGTCCCTCTTGCCCCACCCCCAGGTACAGGACTGGACCTCGGCTGCTTGCCTTCCCCCAGCTACTGCCCTGTGCACCAGACCAGGAATCGAAACCACTCCGCATAGGCATCGGCTTTGCTCTCCGCCTGCCTCAAGGCCAGGCCAGGACTTTGCATCTGTTGCCAGAAAGAAGACGGGAGGAAGCAGGACCTCAGGGCGAGGCCATGCAGGCCCCTGGGTATCAAACCCACGCATTTCAGGCCCCAGCAGCTCAGGCCTGGGCAGATTCAGCCTCAGGCAAACCCTCCCCGACCGGGAGCCTCAGGTCTGCAGGCCCTCCATCACCAAATTCCACTCGATGTTCAGGGCCTCCGCGTCAGGCACTCAAACAGGCCGCAGTCTCCCTGAAGCCCGGGCTTTCGTCGGCTCCAAGGCCTGCCTCTCCAGAGCCTATTCTCCAAAAGTCGCCATCCTATTTCCAGAGCCACGGAGGCTCGCTGGAGCACCTCTTCTAAACCCTGCCGTCCCCACCAGGCCCCAGATCTCGGGGAGCCCCCGAGACACCCTGAAGGGCTGGCTGGCTGGCGGTCAGGTGTGTTCTCCAGCCCTGAACCCTGGAAGTCCCTTGTGGAGCCTGCTCTCTCCTGGCTGAAGAGGACCAAGGGTACGGGAGGCCCCATTCAGCCTTCAATGTATCCAATAAAGCTTAACCCTGCAAAACTTGTGTTTGTGTCCTGTTGAGCAGACACCCTGGGTACCTATGGGGGCAGAGGGGGTGGGGCAGAACCCAACAAGGGGTGGGGGAGAGTCAAAGGAAACAGAGTGGCCAGGGAGAGTGGATGCCATGTACCTGAAAAGGGCAAGGGGCCCACAAGGCCTGAGCACCTGAGATGTGCCGGGCTCTGGCTGGCCCTTCGCACATTAAATTTGGTGAAGCAGATAATGGCATCCCCAAAGGTGAAGCCACTGGGTCCCTTCCGCTGGGTGCACCTTAGGTTAACAAGGATGCACCCCGATGTGGCCAGGGGAGCAACCGGAGGTGTCTCCTTGCAGGAAAGGGCACGCATTCACTTGCAGAGAACCACCAGGATGCTCCCATTGGAGATAAGAAATCCAAGGGCCCCCTCGGGAGGGTGGAGACTAGATCTGCCCTGCTGGGGGCCGGACTGCCAGCCTCTGCGATGTCCAAGGGGAGCAGCCCCCGCCCCAGGCACAGGTGCAGGCTCGGAGCCACGAGGATGGATAGGTGTTAAGGTAAATCGTCTCCTCCTACTAGAAAGCGGTGGGCTCGGGCTTTGAAGCCAGGTTTGTTTTCAGGTTCGCACTGCCTGCCTTCAGAGGCCAGACAAGCCACACGTCCAGCGTGTGACCGTGGGGCAAATCACTTCCTCTCTGGGGTAAAACGTAAAGGCGGCGCTTGTATGCGTCTGCGTGTCAGTCTGGAAGGCAGACAGCCCCAACCCCAGGATCTCCTTGTTAAAGGTCCACTGACCTCTCTTGGCCTGTATTAGCTCCTCTCCACGCGGGACATTCCCGCGAGGCAAGAGCGCGCTGCTCCCGCCCCGCAAAAAGATGGCGGGGCCTGACG